GGTAATGGAAAGCTGTAATCTTTTCATATGGCTGGAAGGAGAGGGTAGGCATTACAAGTTTCTATCATACCCAGGAACATATTTGTTGAGTGAATTAGGCTAATTGAGTTGCCTTCTGTAGCAAATAAAAACAAAAAAGGAACCTATAAGGAAGGAGCAGAAGCAGATGTTGAATAAGAAATCAATACCATAAACTATAAACTGCTTTAAATCAATGGAGAACACGGAAATTTCAGCCATGGAGGCAAGTCATGAGGCGGGAGAGTCTGGCTAGTTTCATCAGCTTTTAAATCAATCACTTCATTTACTCTTCTAATGGAAAAGGTTAGCTCTGGCTTTTTAATGAGTGGGTGTAGAGTTTCTATTTAAGGAATTGGCTCAAAAGTGATATAAAACACATTGGATTTGAAAATGCAAACTATTTTTCCATATTTTATTTTTGTCGTTACCATCAATGGTGTGTCAAGTTGACTAAATTTATAGTTTTAGAACTGACAACTTGAAATTTTCAAGTCCAATTCCTTTATTTTGAGAAAACTGAGGCTCAAATGGGTAAAATTATCTCAGGGTTACACCTTCTTGTCCTATAGTCAATATTACCTTTTAGTTGATTTCCAGCAAAGAAAAAAAATCCTATAAATAAAATGTAGTTAGAGCAATAATTATAAAACAGTACTGAAAACAATGAAGATATTAAGAATGTTTTCAGGGCTTACCTTGGTAGAGATGAACAAATGTCTAAATTATTTGTTAAGTAGCTGCTGCTGAGCCTCATGTAAGCCTCAGCTGGTCTCTGGGCCCCACAGATCTCCCAGCTATAACAATAGGATCCACCTCAAAGGTTTGATTTGAGAATTAAATGATGAAGTAAAGAGTTTAGTATGGGGCTTGATGCTCAGCAATATTACACCTTGGCTATTATTTTTATTATAGTCATATTAAAATGGTAGTAAATTTCAAACTAGTTTCTACATGAATGTTCACAACTTAGGAAATGTGATAGCATTCAAGTTCATTAACTTTGATCTAGCTAATCTCTCAATAAAATGGCTACTCATGTACTCACCTCAACTTTCATTTTGTTCTTTTCCATTGTCTAAAGGTTGACTCCTCCTTGCCCTATATTCAAGTCTCCACAGCTCTAATTGATAACTAAGAATACGACTCAGGCTATATAAAAGAAAATAATGTACTGACAAGGTCCTGTTAGCATATCTAGTAGGACATGGTGAATGTTCTATAGAATATTATTTTTTTTAAAGTTTATTAGTACACACACATGTATGAGACAAAAAGTGAGAGGAGAAGCATATTCACAGGAGACAGCACTCCCATCAGGGTTTCGACAATGCAGTCCACCCCTAACCTTTAGCCAGTTTTGGATCATCAGTGTGTGATTGCACAGAGTACTCAGGGAAGCTACTGGATACAAACCTGGAACCATCCCATGTCGATCAGCCTCACTGAGTGTAACGTTTCACTATTGCCCCACCGTCCCCGGCTTCTCGTAGAGGTTTTTGTAGAGCAGAACTTGTCTGTGTAACTTTTGGGATAAGTAAAGCTAAGTCCAAAGCCCAGTTTGGTAAGGGAGGGGTGGAGGAAAAGGAGGAACACTTCTTGCTTAAGCAAATATCAGAAACTAGAAGTGACTGAAAGGTAGAAAGGTAAACATGATGGAACTTGAACAATGGTCAACCAAGTAGGAATCCAGCACCCTTAACCACCATGCAACCAGCTGACCCCTTAATTACTTTTTTTATTCATGAGAGCATGGGTGTATAAATGAGGGTTGGGGAGAGAGAGAAGTACTCTCAATAGGGTTTCCTAACTCAGTGATCCTGTTCCTCTAGCCCTCCAGCTCCTGAGGGCTTTTTTTAAGAGAGACTTTTGCTAAAGGGTAAGTGCATTTGCCAGAGAGACAGAGACAGAGAGAGACAGAAAGTGAGAAATCACCCCCCCTGGGGGTGGGGGGGGATGGCCACACTGTAATCTCTCTCTATTCTCCTCTTGAGATTTTGGGCATGCACTTATATATGCCTGGCCTGAGTTTTAAACCACTGGCTCCAGGACTTGAACCACAGTTGACTATGGGAGAGTCCAGTGATGTAACAATTACACCATCCACTGGTCCCTTCTATGACTTTTTAAAAAAACAGTTTTTAGAAATTATTATATGAACATATACCTATGCTAAAAAGAATTCAAACAGTACAGAAGAGAATAAATGGACTCCTAGACTCATTACCAGAGGATCCTGGGAATGAGCACACCTGGTGTTTGCAGCTTGACTGTGGATCTGAAACCATTGACCATGAATGAGGCTTCTAGAAGCTCATGGTTTCAGATCCATACAAGCTTATGGTTTCAGATCCATAGAAGCTAATGGTTTCAGATCCATAGCCAAAGTGAAAAATGAAATTTAGTTTTGTTTTGCTTGATTGGAAGGAAATGGGGAAGATAAGATTTAAAAAAAATTTTTTTTTGAGAAGTTTTTGCTATAGGGCACCTGCGCTCTCCAGAAAGACAGAGAGAGAGAAAGAGATATATAGAGAGAGACAAAAGCGAGAAATCACCTCCCAGGGGGGTGGCCACACCACAATCTCTCCTCCTCCAATCTCCTCTTGGGACCTTGGGTGGGCACGCACGCACACCAGCCAGGTGCCAGTTTAAGCCACTGGGTGCAGGACTCCAACCGCAGTCTACTGCAGGGAAGTCTAGGGACATAGCCATTACACCAACTGCTGGTCCCAAGGTAAGTTTTAATTTTCAGGTTTTGGAAGGGAAAATTAAAGGACAGGTAAAAACAAACAAACAAACAAACCCAAACATATACTTTGGGACAAATGTAAAGCTTTGAACTTGAAATGTTATAAGTATTATAATATGTGAGTCATAATTATTGCTAAAAAAAACAGAAATGGTTTTCTCTTTCCTTAAAAAAAAGTAAAGTTATACATAATTATGAAAAATATTTTTTAAAAAGACTGTACTTAAACTAAAAGGTAAATATTCATCCTACCCAATTCTGTCACCTAAAAAGTATTTAGAGTGTGGCTGATAGCCCTTAATCCATCTAATTATGACATAAGCCTAACATTTTCTGTTCATTGCCAACAACCATTGTATAACCCTGATAGCAGAATTTTGTTGTTAGTACACAAATCTCATGGGAGACAGAATACAGGCATTTAATAAGTAATTTCTTAATGATTTTATTGAATGCGATATCCAAATGATCTCAGCTAGCACTGAATTCTGGCTCTGGCAGTGTATTTTTTGTACGACCTTGGATAAGTCATACACTTTCATCTGTTTTTTTTCTTTTTACAGGGATGTAAGAATCATAAGAATGACTGTAACATACTCTGTGGAGAGCTTTTTGTTTAAAACGCTGACAATACAGAGTCCAGCAAAGCCTCCCTCAGAAGAACCTGAGCTGTTTGAGGACGGGATTTCCTTTCTTTAAATCATCAGTATCTTATTTGTATTTCTATAATAAAGTTCTTGGTCTATAAAACGTTCTCTGTAAATGTTGTTACTTTACGAATTTTATTAGGCAGATTGCAGTCTTGGCAGGCCACTGCCTCTTAAATCTTTTTCCTGTGATCTTTCTAATACTTAGCATCTCAAAGGCCGTTATTACTTGATCTGGGATAAGTACCCACAATTGTTACTTAAAAATACCCAAGCCTAGAGAAATCTTGTTTCAGGGTACCTTGTCGCCTTCCCACCGTCCTGTGCCCCAGGCTCGGGATCTGGGTTCCCAACGCTACAGGGAAGAGTTGGATACGGGAAGCTCATCTTCCCGCTCTCTGATTGGCTAGCTCGCACTCCACTCACTAGGCTGGTGGCTGTGATTGGCCCGGGCGGCACCCCTCGGCCCGCGACTACTTTGTGTGCCCTGGCGGCGAGCTGAGGTCCTCCCGCTCAGCTCGCGGTCTGGCTGGCCTGAGGTAGCTCTTCGGCCCACTGCTCTGCATCGCGGGCGCCAGGAATTTCCCGAGTCCAAGCGGGTAGGAAGCATCCTAGGAAAAGCCTCCCCCTCCCTTCCCATGCTGTTTTCTTTCCCGTACTGAATAAACTTCCGCCTTGGAGGCGCTGTCGCAGCCGCGGGTC